TATATATATATGTATATTTGCGTTTTTAATAAACAATATTCAGTTGTATTACTCTGTACCACTGAAATTGGTGGGGTTACATTTATTATGTTTTTATTTAGTATAACCATGATAGAGTGCTTATTCAGAAATTGCTATTTTTAATTGCATATTTATATTTAACTCTTTTATATTAATACTCTATTATGGTGTTTTACAATGCGAAGTCAGATTTATTCATTTTTTCCTTTTTTTATCTCAAATCTTTCTTACAAAACTCGAGAACCGTGTATAAGTTTTGTGTATCATTAGAATGATTATTTTTCACTATCTTAGACAACCGCAAAATTAAATTTTTCATTTGATTTAATTACTTTATGTTATTGTAAATACTCTTTTATATGAAAGTAACGTACATAAAATTTTAATGCTCAAGAAAATACTTAATATTGCATCTGCTATAACAGAAAAGCCATGATGTATGAGACTCAAGAGCTACGATGTACGGGATGCAACTTGGCCTAGCTTCAGAGTTTCGAAAAGGCTCGAGTACTCGGGTTATAAAGCCTCATACTCCCCACTCATGTGATTTGTGTGTGTATTCCGTCAACCGTTCTACGCATGATAGTATTGCTTGCGACGCTAGTCACCTGATGGACTAAACTCAAGGTTCTCTCGGATCACTGAGCTCATATTTTTTCTCTCTGTCTAAAATCAGTGTGGGGCAGTGTGGCTAGACGGGATGAGGCAGTTTGAGCGGGGGGGGGGGGGTGATAAAAACTTTGAAACTAACACGAAATAATGACTTACATGTGCTTTCGCATTAAGTTTGGTATCTTTACATCATTGTAAGTTATTGAACATAGCCGATATCGCTATTTTTAAGAGACTGTTAAAAAAGAAACTGAGTCACTCTGGTGTTTATCGCTCTGACAGCATCGACAGCATTGATGGCTGTGGAAACATTTAAGTGTATAAAAAAAGATATTCAGTATATTTCTATGTACACATGTGTCTGTATGATTACAGTCGAATTATTGAATATGTTCTTCATTCTAGTATCAATTGTATTGAGTATTTTTCTTAATGTAGTAGTGTGTGCAACACTGTAACTAAGCCCTGTGCAGTACTTAAGAGTCCTTTGTAATAGCTTGGATAGACTGACCACAAATGTTTAACAGAGTGGTCATTGTTAAAAAAGCAAAAAGTATGTTATTAGGCAAAATTATCTATACATATTTCTAGGAGAACCTCAAAAGGGTTAATCAACATAAAAAATTTAGTTATAACAGTTACATTTCTTTTCGATGTTATTGCAATACTTAACGAAGCTACTATTTTGTGTAAAAAAATAGTATTAAACCTTTAAGTTAAAATAATTTTCTTGAAAATTAATAGTTGCTTTATTCGTATGTTATTTTCAGAACCTTCCATTCGACATACACAACAGATACAAGTTTACGTTAATTTTCACTCTTTTCATAAGTTCTGGAATGGCTATACCATTTTTGGCTGTTCGTCATCAGTTATTGAAATAAATAATGTAAGTAATTTTTATGACTCATAATAATATAAATTTATGTATACTTTCTTGCTCAACACAAAAGGTAGTAAGAATTCAATTATTAATTCTAACTAGTATTAGCACTTTTTGTCTGATGTAATAAAATATAAATTAAAAAATATCATTTTATATACGTAGTTCCAAAGTTTTTCAACATTTTTTAATACTAAACTTGCAATGTAAACTTAGTACATACTTGCAACTTTGCATAAAAAAGATCCAAATAGATGCTGTTGCGTCGTCTCTATAATGTATACAAATGTGTAATCAACAATCATGTGAAAATTATGAACATCAACAACTGGTAAAAGCTTTACAACAATGTATTTTCCATAAAGCAGAGAGTAGGCGTTCTTAGGCTAGGCTAGTACAGCTTTTTTTTGACACGAGAGTGTTGCTGGAACCTCCCGTTACACTTAACTCCGCCTTTTGTTAGAAATCATTAAATCTCTTTAACTGCAATGACTATTTTACTGTTATAAAAAAAATGCATTCTCTGTGTTTTAGCAATCGTCTCAAAAACTACTGTACCAATCATTTTAAGATAGTGGCAGAAGTTTCATAACACTTAAAAATTAGCTATAGCATATAAAGAATTACTAGCAATGGTTTTAATATTTTGCCTAAGCTTATTGAAAAATATTATCATTCGAACAAATATTTCAATTTCTTGAGTGGTTATCTAATACGAGTAGCTCGTACCTTATTTACATACTACATTTAGAAGACTCCCCAACTAAAAAAAAGCTAACACCGTTGCTTTTGAGTATTGCATTTCATCTAAAAAAAATTGACTTTTTTACAAGATAAACTATTATCTTGTTCTGAAGTTTTTTCTCGTTGATTAGTGTAACAATTTGTTTAACTTAAACATAATAACTAGGATCTTTATTAGTTCCTTCATACATTTATTAACAAAGCTGTTTCCTGCTTTGAAAATATTGATGGATATGCGACCACTATTAACAGTACTCATTTCAATTTGTTTTGTACGACTAGTTCTCATTTCCGTCACGTTTATCATTAAGCAAATTAAAAAATTTATCATTAATCAAATCTAAAAAATAAGAGTCTCTGTTCTATAGTTATCAAAGTTACATTTCTATAGGCGCTTTATGCGCGAGAGTATATCAACGATTTCAGAGTTCTGACCTTGAGAAGTGGATTTTGCATATTACTGTATGTTCGAATCGTTTTTGCATTTTTGTATGAATTTGAACTTCGTGCCAACTTGAACTGATATCGTGCACGATTAAAGCTAGAGGGCGCTACGGGACGGCGATTCGGAATCTGGTTTCACCGTGCAAGCAAAAGTGTGAGAGAGAGTGATTCGAGCAGGCATAGCGAGAGCATCCAGATAGTAGCACTTTGACCAGCCACTATTACGTAGTTCAGAAGCAGAGAGTTCGATCGAGTACCGTGCGTCCTTTTCAGGATCGACCAACACAGATTTTATCTCCAAGGAAGTAAAGATGCCTTCTGTATGAATGAGCCTTTCACTGCGGGCACGTGCGTGTGTACATTAGACACTGCGAACATCTATCGCGAAAATTGTACTGTCTTTTGCGTGAAGGAAAGTGTGGACTGTTGTGACTTTATTTTTATCTTGGTGTTATTTCGTGTGAAGGTGAAAGGCGTCATGAGTGTGGCAGTGTGGTCCCCCACCGTAATCCCTGTGATTGATGTACCGGGCCTTAACCTAGACCTCCATCGCTCGGGTTCCATAATCAGCAGCGTGTAGAAGCGACTAGGGTGAGTAAAGATTTTGCTTATTTTCTACAGCGTCGTAAGCTGATTTAGAAACGACGGTTGGTTGCAGTAATACTTGTCCTGCGGCGTGTTCGGTTTGGAACCGACGACTTGCAATATTTGAGGTAAGAGAGCTATCTTATCGATAAATCAAAAGATCCCCGTGATTTTGCGTGTGGGAAAAATATATATCTTACTAATATATGAAGCAAAGTCACTAAAACCGTTAAAATCGCTAACCGCAAAAGCGGAAAGCTAAGCTAGAAACCTTGTTGATAACAATAGCGATAAATACGCTCAAAGTCTTCCTAAAATAAGCTAGATTTGTGCTTTAGTTCAGTAGGATCTGCTAAGTGGCGTTGAAGTAACATTGAAGCCACCCGCAATCATGATAGTGAAGACTGGTTATAAGATGCCCCATTGAGTTCGCGATTATTGTAATCGTTCATTGGCAGTACACCAAGAACAGAGTTGTTAATCGTGCAACTGAGCATCCTGGCTAATGTTGACACTCTCACTTCATGGGCAAGCAAAATAAATCGGTTTTCACCCTGGATCGCCAAGATAACCCTGGTCAGGAAAAGTATGCGTCTGGAACGTCAACGTCTCCGGTGAAATACCAGGAGACGTGGCTAGCCAGATCACAACCTGCTCAAACGCCTCAGAGTTTTGGGGCCGTTCAACCATGTGGCCTGGTGCCGTCAGAGAATTTTCTACTTCAAATACAAGCCAGAAAAGACAGCCCTGAAGAGTACGGGTGGCCACAATAGCCTCCATAGTGATCGTCCCAACGGCATACCTACAGAGAAGGTATTCTTCAAGCCCACTTTCCTGACTAACGATGAGCGGTTGGTTATCAGTGAAGCGACCTAAAGACGCGATATTCTAAGTCAGTCATTCACTGGCAGACATCACGAGCGGAGTAGTTCGTCGCAAAGCTGGGAACCCCAGTGACCGGCGACCCTATATTACCTTTTCGACTCTAGGCATTCAACCAGTAATTACCGATCCTCTCCAAGGTCCATGCTGGGAAAACCTAACAGCTATAAAGGAAAAGTAAACTTGAGCCAACGAGACCGTCTCCAATGGGCAAGTAACGCGAACCGGTTTTCCCGCCTTAGGTCACCAAAACAACTAAGTCCGCAAAAAAAAGGTGCTTTAAACACCAACGTCTTTGATGTTCTACCAGGAGGATGTTGACCCTGAGGTATAGAAGTAATTTCGTTTGCGGGAAACCTGAGTCAAGAAAAAGTTTCCTTAAGATGCTCACCAGTCCTTTTTAGGGTCATCGGACGTCGAAGTACCTGGCCAAAAAATATATTCCAACCTAATAAAGTTGAAAAAATATACTTTAGACCTTACAAAAGTGTTAACTATGCCAAAAGACGCGAAATTTAAAATTGGAAACAAAACTTCAAATGAATCTCATGAACAAAATTTTAGGCGTCAAGAAAATAACGCTGAATATTTATCGAGATTACAGCAGTATGAGAATTGATAACTAAAGAATTTATTAAGTAAGAGATCAGCTTTTTACTATAACCCTCATAATAATCTCTTGAATCTTTCAGATTTTTAAATAGGTACACTGTAAAAAATGCTGCAGTAAAATCATTAGCGGATAGTAACTTTTTTACTATCCTGAGCACTATGTCTTGAGCATCGTAATTTCACTAGCAATGTATTGATATTACTATCCGCTATTAAAATTAATATGCTCAGCATAGATAACAGTGAGACCTATGCTCAGCATAATAATTTTACTAGCTGCATGATAAATACAATCGGCTATTAAAATTACAAGACAATGGAGATTCTACGTTCTGATAGTGAAAATACGTTGAACATCCCTCGGAAAAATACGAGATGATAGTAATATTGCGCTCCGATGGTAAAAGTACAGTGATCCAAATTACACGAGATAGTAAAAGTAATATCTAGTATTAAAGTTACATGCAGCTATCACTCTTGATAGGGGTAAGGGAATCTCGCATTGACTATATTAATTTACATGTATATTTCTACCTAATTTACGGTTCGTGCTTCGCGCTCTCGCACTATAATCTATAATTGTGATAAGGATTAAAAGTAAATTTATCATCAGTGCTCTTACAAATTCGTAATCAGTAAGTATTAGGGATATTGTATACACAGCGAAAGCATTCTGGAAAGTAAACACTTTTCAGGTTATGTATCATTTCATGACACCGTGGGTATACACCTTAGTAGACCAATAGCTAAATATTTCGGATCTCTACAAATCATCACGTTTCTCAGTTATGTATGAAGATGTGTCTGTAATGTGAAGAAATAATAACATAACCCTTTTACTGAAAATGAAACCATGAACAGTACGATAGTGCTTCTCATATCCAAGATATGACTTTTACGCTTAGGATAGTAAAATTACTACGCGATCGCAAAAAATTTCTGAAGATTTCGGCTTCGCTGGAAATTACTATCTTGACATTTAATTTTACCATCCAGGAAAAACATTTTACGAACCGATAGTAAAATCCCTATGCTAAGCATAGGTCTTTACTTTACCTATGCTGAGCATAGTGATTTTACTACAGAATTTCTTACAGTATAGAATATGTTTGTGTATTTTTGTTGCGATAAAACCTTGAGATCAAGCTCCAGGACTTTGTTGCGATGGTGATAAAGTTGTGAGATAAGGTAAAAAAAATTTTTTTTTTAATTATACATTTTTTGTGAGTTTTACACCTATACAGCCTTAAAAAATTGCCCTGTTTATAGATTATACGGGAGAAACTGTAAATCAACAGCTTTTTAAGGCCAACGATTATTTTATGGCATAAGAAATGCACGGTACTTCTCAGCATAAGTATATTTTTTTCACGTTTTACTGCTTCTTACCTCACCAAATAAACTGTATGGATTCTGAACAAATACAATTTTAGTAAGAAAATTTTTGTTTTGAGAAGTGTCAGAAATAAATTTGAAATTTTTAACTAAAAACATTTCTCATAACATGTAAACACAGTACGGTCTTTCATCTAGTGAGTCTTGGGCGAAGCCGAGATGGGGGGGGGCCGCTAGTGTGTGTGTGTGTATACATATGTATTCATAAAAAGTGACTTATGCGGACTTCAAGTGCTTCTAAAATATATATCAATAACATGGCAGGAATGTGCGGACGTCTGCATAATTCCACTTTTGTCCTCATAATTACCCTTACATACATGTAAGTCTCCACATAAGTCACG